GGTGAGTGGGTGAGTGGTTGAGCGGTGGTTGAACACAGTGTGGATCAGACAAAACAGCATGGTAGACCAGGTCCTCAACATGGGCGGAGGACTGACTAAGTGGATTTCATAGGAATGGTAACCCATGGTAGTGGTGACAGAGTGATAAGGAGGTGATTGACCGCCAGTGAGCGAGAGGCAACGAGTGCCCGAGCAGCAATCGCCCCGAATGCTTCACATTGCGCCGTGTAAGGTGGCTGCCGTGGGTCACGACGCCGCCGGCGCGCGTAGAGATGCTGACCGGGCGGGTTGTCCCGTAGGCCCTGGTGGCTCGGCCGTCCGGCTCCAGCATGGCCTTGGGGCCCGTGACGGGCTCCGACGTGGGCGTGCGGCGCGCCGAGGTGAAGCAGGGTGTCCGCGAGGTCATCCTGTGCAAAGACCAGGACGGGAAGCTGGGCCTGCGCCTCAAGGCCGTTGACAAGGTAAGGTGAAGGGGGGGGGGGGGGTACGCTCACTTCTCCGGGATTCCCACGGTTTGCGCCGTACCGTCGCTCTCCGATCTGATGTGTTTTTGGGTCGTGGCGCGTGTTGCACGGCCATCGTGCCGAGCAACACGCGCTACGACCCAAAGCCTCGCTGGAAAGCTGCAAAGGGGTCAGTTGGTAGCACACACATTTACTGCAAGAGAGGTAAAATCTATTTCTATCTGGTGATGAAACTCAGAAAGTAGAGACCAATCCAGAGGATGCATGCTTGAAAAAATGCTGTTGGAAAACATTTGTGCATAACCTCATGAGGTGACGGACATAAATGATTTTATATTCACGCATTTTTAAAGTTGAGGTGTAACCAACTCTTAACAGTGATGTGAGTGTGGTTCGTGATTAAATCATGAGACCACATCATGGGTAAAACCCTGGCAATGCGCCTGTGTACTTGGGCACAACTTCGATGTTAGGTGAATTGAAGGATGAGCAAGTTGCAAAACCTGCGTCGGTGGTCACATTCTTACGAGACCTTGTGTCGTGCTTTATTACACACAAGTTTCGCTCCACGATTACGTATATGACGACGTAAACACGCCCACCGTTTCCGCACCGCGGTCTCGTCCAGATGCTTGACAAACCCACATCGTGATTGCGCCGACTTTAACGAAGAGGAATCGGCCGCTGGCGCCACAGTTGACTGTTTTTTTTCCGATGGCTGCGCCGCACCGCTCGCGCAGGGCATCTTTGTGCAGCTGGTGCAGGGGGGCTCGCCGGCCTCGTTGGCCGGGCTTCGCTTCGGCGACCAGGTGCTGCAGATCAACGGCGAGAACTGCGCCGCGTGGGACACGGACAAGGCGCACAAAGTGCTGAAGAAGGCGGCGCCAGAAAGGATCGTGATGGCCGTGCGTGACAGGTGAGTCGGCTGGCGCCTGGTGACATTCCGTTTTCTATTTCAGGTAGGGCGGTTGGCAAGGGCCCTGGTGCATGGAGTTAAATGTCCTCCCACCCCATCCTATCCAGTTTCTCTCAACCCTCTTAATCTCTCGGCACCTGGGCGCCTCCGGCCGTGAGCCACAGTGCAGTTGCACTGCCTGCTGCTCGATAGCTATAGGGCATTCACAATAATAATGTCAATTGAACGGTAACGAAACTAACAGTTTGCTTGCTTAATGCTGCTGAATATTTTTACTTCTAGAAAGCCAATAGGCCGATGGACTGAGAAAATTTGCATTTATGTGCAGACACTGAAAGGATTTCTCGGATCATGTTGTTGATAAGTGAAATACTGCTGCATAATACTGCTCTTGAAAGCCAGTAGGCCAGGCTGATGGCCGAACAAATATTTTACGTTTTAATTGTAGGCGCACAATAGAGTTCTACTTGTCTGTGTCGTTGATGTGCCGCGTTTCTTCCCGTCAGGCCGTTTGAGCGCACCATCACCATGCACAAGGACAGCCTGGGCTACGTGGGCTTCGTGTTCAAAAACGGCCGCATTGTGTCCATCACCAAGGATAGCTCGGCCGCGCGCAATGGCCTGCTCACGGAGCACAATGTGTGCGAGCTCAACGGGCAGAACGTCGTGGGCCTCAAGGTGAGGCATGCCCGCTGTGGGTGCACACGTGGGTTTGCGGGATCTGATCAAGGAGAGGTCGGCAGGATTTTGAGTGGGGATTGGGACGAGCAGATGTAGTGGTCGTGGTGTCGAGGGTTTTTGGGAATTCAGTAGTAACCACTAATGAAGGACACCAGCTGCTTGTTCATACTCCAAAGTAGAGCCGGGGCCATTAATCAATGAAGTCGATCAACCGATTCAATTTGTCATTGACTACTTTTTATGGTCGATTACTCGGACGCCTTTAAAAATGGTGGCCGCCCCTCTCATCGTGTCTCCCGAAGGTGGGAAACCCCCTACAATCCGTATCCTTTGTGATGCGGTCGACAATGCCGATGTCACAAAAAATCCACCCATCACCTCCCGTCCATTAGCACACGTGGAAACAGGCGAGACTTTTCTTCTAACAATTTCCATGTTATCCGATTTAGTCGAGTAAAATTTAACCGATAATCGATAGTCATCGATTATTTCAATATTCAGATATCTCCAATTTAGTCCATAGTAAATCCATGTTAACAATACGGAAACATCCATAGTTTAAAACCTCAACTCCACCTCTAATCAAGGTCCAGAATCTTGACGGCTTGAGCATATCATGCTGGAAAGCTTTGGTCCTGAAGATCCATTAGCTTGTGGATGAGTGTTATTTAATTTTCACATCATCCAACCTTAATTCATGATGTTTTTACCAGTGAAGGTATGTATTTTAGCAGTGTCGATAGCAGGACTGCAGAAAAAACTCCACTAATTTCAAACGCAGGAAGCTGAGTGCACATTTAATTGTTTTCTCTTTCTTTCAGGACTCGCAAGTCAGCGACATTCTGACAGCTTCTGGCTCAACCATCACCTTGACCATCATGCCCTCCTTCATCTATGACCACATCATCAAAAGGTGATTCATGGCAAGGCTCAGCATATGTAGTTTTAAGTTTATTTTGTTAAACCAGGTGAGAACTCAAGAGACCAGGATAGTGACATTTGCAAGTGACCTTGGGGCTTTAGTCTGCCATGTATAGTCCCAATTGAGTAATTTAAGAGTAATTTTTATTTTGGCGAATCTAGACCCTGACACACAATGGCCTACTTTTGGAAATTATATCAGGGAGATCCAAAAGAGGTTTTTTGGGTTAGATTCTGTGTACGTGACAAACTTTACTAATTGGTAGTGTCGGGTGGTGGCGGGTTTGACACATTTATATATTTACGATATCTAACCCAAAAAATTACTAATATGGATATTGGACGCGAAAGCCTACGTGTTCAGCTGATATCTTTTATTTATGTTATACCTACGTGACTTTACCGAAAGAACCAAAGAGTATGATGTCAGGGGATCTTTTAACGTCCACTGAAGCAGACGGCGCGTAATGTTTTCACGGTTACTACACCGAGTTGTCATCAGGGTGGCCACTTGATTTGAACCGTGAACCTCTACAATAAAACCTGAACGTGTGGCCACGTCACACATCTTAATGCAAAATGTAGTGCTTTGCTTAATGCGTCTCTAATTATGCAGAAACCTACCCAGACTGTGTCACAGGCTGTGCCATTTATTCAATTTGATCGTCAAGATGGATCGCCAAGAAGGCCGAGCAGTAGCGCATGTCTCTTGTTGCAAGTTTTCAAATCAAGACCCATGGCCGCCCTGGTTAATACCGCTGGGTGTATTAATCGTGCAAAAACACACTGTCCACCTCACAATGGACATTAAACGTCTACGTGCTTTATTTAAAAAAAAGCCGCATGTGCCATCGTCATGGGTCAAATTTACCAAATAAAAAAATCTGCAAATGACTCAGTTGGCAATATCACCCTATAATGTTAAACAAACTTACGACCTTTCTGAAAGTCTTGAAACTGATGAGGCTTTTCTGGGTAAATAAGAAATGTTACAATGATAAAGATTATTTCAAGTCGATAGTTGTGGCTGTAATAGAAAAAAGTTATTTTGGGCTGGCAGTGTCCGTGCTATTGGGCATCACTCACACGTGGCGTTTCCATGTGCTGCAGGATGGCTTCCAGCGTTCTCAAGAACCAGATGGATCATTCCATCCCAGAAGTGTGAAACTGGGAGTCGTTTACAGGAAGAAGAAACTCCTCATTTGACTTTGAACTTTGCATCCACCATTTACTCATTTCTCGGCCGTATGCATGTGAACATGGCAATTGTCGTGCTATATAACATAACCTATTAACAGGCTAGCTATTCATTCCTACTCTATTTAGTGTTAATTTTATTATTTGTATTTAGTCAGTTTGTTTAAATAGTATTATTTGATTTTCAATGCTCAATTAAAAATATCCTAATGTAATCTAGCACCAAATACATGTTTTCCTTGCCTGACACTTCCTGTTCAAAGGCTAAATTAAACTTGTTAATTTTCATGTGTTTTTTTGTTTAGCAGTTTTGTTGAAAGTTAAACATTGCCTGTTGCTTATACTGTATTGTAATTTGCTTATTGCATAACTAGCAAGACTATCCATAGGGATTTCTACTGCAGGAAGACATGACCTGTGCATTCCAACTTTGGTTTATTTTATACAACTTATGATGAAAAATTTGCATGAGAAAATGAACGTCGGCTTATCCCAGAGGCAATCAAAAGGTAGAATGGCTTGGTGATGTTTACAGTTTCAGGAATGCTTGTATTTTGCATCGCCGGTCAGTGTGAAATAAACTTACACATTTAATGAAAGTTGTTTTGATCTGCTCAAGAAACTCCCATCAGACCGAGTTTATTGGAGAACAAACAATGCTTGAGCGGAAAACATCAGATCACACACAGGCAGCTTCGTTTTTAAACTTCTGAATTGCATTATACAGCATAGTACTCAAAGGGTGGGCTGCCCCAGTATATACGCTTTATTAACTATGCTAATCGTGCAAACCAAATTATTTCCCGCTTTACAGCTTGCAATGTTCTTTAGTGTAAACAAGTTTAATCAATAAAAAGGAAGATAAAGACCAGAACACAAGCCGATCGTGGATGCACGAACTGTAGTAGCCATACGGTACAATAAAAGCAGGACACGGTAAACTCGTCCGTTGTGCAGAATTGTGGGTAAACACAAACAAGCATACGATTGTGCACAAATAACACATACCAATACAGTACCGTTTTGGATATTGGTCTGGCTAATGGGACTTTGTTTATAGGTGCAGACAGTTGTGGTGTGCTTAATTAATCTGCATTGCTTTGCAAACGAAGTTGCAAGCTTTGAGTGCAATTTGGTATGTTTATGTCCCTCCAAGAAAGTCCGTCAAATGAAAGATGCTGGATCATAGCTGGCAGAAACTCTCCAGTGACCATAACATAATCGCAGGTAATAAACCTCTGCAGAATGGATTAGAATTTGTGTTATTTTTACAATTGACATTTTTCGGATTTAGTAATGTACAACCATTGCTGTAGAGGTGAAGGGTGGGTGGGGGGTGGTGTGACCTCAACAAGCACAAGTGACACTGACACGAGGGTGACATCGCCGCCGCCACCACCCCCTTACCTGCGCTGTGCACCAACCAGCAAAGCTTTTTTTTATACCAGGAAATACTTTTTGCTTTGTACATTGTGAAAATAAAAAATGCTAGTAAAAATGTAGCAAACCAGTTAGATATACATTTCTTATTATAAAAATAGTTTATAAACCAATTCGTATTTAAAATGTTTAAGCATGTCCTTCTTGAGCACATAAATAAATGTAAAAAATTATGCTTTCAGAAAGCACTGCAAATATCGAAAAAAATGTTTGTAGTTAAAAGTATTTTTTTTGTTTCATTTATACTTCTTGACGAGACAGACATTTCCCAAGGGCCAACTGTCAAGCTTGTCGATTACACATGTCTGTACACTTACAACTACACTACGCCTACCATCTCATTTTGCTAAACGCGTTTAATCCAGGGACTGCAATTTTAATTGAGTCTAACACATTTGTGGCCAGTCGCTACCTGAGATGCACTTTACAATCATTTGAAGCTCCAGGTAACTATGCATCGTCACCACTCAAGTGGCAAACATGTGGTACATCTTCTTTGCCATTTTCGTAAAAAGTTGCTTTGCCGTGGTAACACTTGCCTGGCCATGAAGCGAACATTCTTAAACTGGAAAAATAACAGCAATGCAATGGCCTAGTGCAGGGTCTTCTACACAAAAACAAGCTCAAAAATTACAAGTGTCTTAAGGAAGTCTTGCACACGGATGTTCCATACAGTCAGTTGTGTGCACAACACATTTTGATGTGTACTCTGGTTTTTTCGGTAAAGTCACGTAGGTACATTTTTAAATAAATCACGAGGTTTCGGAGGCAACACAAGCTTCCGTCTTCAGGTGGAACCGTCACAGCTTGTGTTGCCTCCGAAACGTGATTTAATTTATTTCATTAGATTTTTTACCTACGTGACTTTACCGAAAAAAAGCCAAAGAGTATGAATTCTTGGAGTCACGAAAACTTCAAACCTAGAATTAACATTTTGATGTTGATTCTCCGCTGGTGATGGCTATGCATGAGCATCATCACTTCAGTCACTGTCACCAGGCAGCCCCAGTGTGTGACGCTGGCACGTGCGCTACATTCAGCTCTCGTCATCTGTGCTCTATTTCGTCACTCGCCTGATGCGCAGCTTTGAATGGCAGGGTTGTCTGGCCCCGCAGGGGGTCGTCCAGCTTGAGGATCTTTACGAGCCGGTTCACTGGTAGGCTGCTGCTGAATGGCAGAGTCAGAACAGCAGCAGCTCAGTTGCTCTACGATTTCATGTTACAACCGGAGAACATTCAACATTGTGCACTATTTTATTTGTGTTTGATTTGCGGTGTGATGCTCATATGGGCTGCCTCAGCCATCTTGTTCCTTTTCTTAATTCTCAATTAATGTATCCGACATCCTATGTGTAGTGTAATAGCGCCGGCTGGTGGGCAGCAGTGGCAACTGGTGGACAGACAGTACACAGGCAGGTGAGCGTGTGCACGGGTGTGTCGGCAGGGCGGAGGAACTGGGGCAAGGGTCACGGAGGATGCCATCTGGAAGCCCCTGGAACCTGCTAGTGGGTTCGAGAAGGGAGGCACGGCCAGGGCAGAGTTAGGCCGCACTGGTAGGATAAAAGGAGCTGAGAGCGGGAGCTCGAGGCTGCTGGTTCTGGGATTGGTTCGTCTCGTCATTGCTGTCATCCCGTCGCCGTCGTGGCTGCCACCTTCGCTCGATAGCGCGCTGCTAGATAGTTGTTAGCTGTCTGTCAGCGCCGTCAGTTTTAGACGACTAGTGTTGTGTATCGGCTAGACTAAGCGACTGTAGAGTGTGCAGGCGAGACTGAATGTTCTAAATAAAAGGTGCCTCCTACAAACCTCGTCTCCGAATCGTTGACACAACAAATGTATATTGCATAAGCTGTAGATTATCACTTTACACCCAGGAAACCCTTGAAAATTAGATGTTCCACTTCAATGGCTTTTCCAGGTAAAATATTTGTAACAAGTCAAAGTGTAAAACTCATTATGAACATAAGTAGTTCATTGCACACTGTGTGGTTACGATGAACGTAGCCTCAATAGGACGGCAAAGTTGACTGCAGGCCCCCTCGTCTCCGAAATGGGCAATTTGGAGGTGGCAGCCACATTGGCGTGAAAAGATGTATTGAGTAAATTCGACTCTTACGACATGTAAAAAAAACTACACGTTGAAGAAATTACTAAAACTTACGCAGTTTACATGAAAATGTTATCTTGAACTACTGAAATTAACAAGATTATGAGACTGAACAAATTACAAATTATACCAAAAATGTGATTCATTAATCAATATGCGTCCTCCAAAACAGGACAATTCACAGAACCATTAGGGGGTGGGTGGGAAGATAAATCATCGCATGTCGAACATTCATCCAATTAGTCCACCTCACCACCTCTCTTCATCAATCTAGCATTGCAGTAAACTATAAAAATACACAGCTAACATTTGTGCCTTTCATGACTACATGTTTACAATATTTCAATATGTAATGTGTGCGTGTGTAGAGGAGTATTGTGAGTAACCAATGAGGGGGCGGCCAGGAGGAGGTGCGAGCGGATTGACAGTCAAGAATGTTGTCACGGGTTACGCAAGGGGCTTTGGAGAGCACGTTCGGGAACATGGGCGGAGCCGAGCCGGGGGGAGGAGCCGCCCAAAGAATTTTTAAGGGGGGGGGCCCCCCATGACGGAGGCGAGGTCGTCGTAGGGAGCCAGGGTAAGGATCGGCTGGAAGAGGGTCTCTCTCTCTCCTCGTTGCGGAACGGTATTGGCTTAACCCCCGCTCCAGGCAGACGAGTGAGAGAACCCATAGGGTAGCCGAGGTTAGGACGCAAATAGTATTCAGTGTCCGGGGTAAAGGACCGAGACAGAGTGCACCAACACTGGTGTGAGCCTAGGATGTCGAGTGTGACAGTGCTTTATTAAACAGCAACAGCCCTTATAGAATTCCTCATCTCCGCATGGTTCTACTGCACTACACATGTACAAAGACACATTGTTTCCGAGTCATGTGAGGATTTAGTGTGCAGTGTGCCTCACCTCATTTTCTGTGGGGTGAGGAAGATGAACTGGCGGTACTGCTGGGTTTTGGCGACTTTCAGCATCATGTCCATGGATACGCGCCTGTTCACCATGTCCTGCACAGTCAAATACAACTCAGTGCTTTGATCGTCGGTTCTTGAGTCACTCGAAAAGATGGGCAAATACATTTAAATTACAAAAGGAGGAAATATAATGCAGATACAAATGACCAATTAGCTATTTATTGTGCAATTAAAAAACAAATGATCAATTTGATAATTAAAATTTTAAAGAATGCGCTGTCATGTCAAAACATCTCAAGCATGCTGCATAGCTGCGATGTAAAAGGTGAGTTTTCAGTTCAAGTTAAAATTTTGAGAGAGATGTCTTTGTCCTTCTGTTCCTTCAGCTGCAAGTTCTGGGCCATGTGTCCAGTGAATTAAAATGTAGTTTTCTTGCTTGGTGTCCACGAGATATCCAGGTGTGCAGCAACCTGCGATTAATACTCTAAAGTGTGTAATTTGGTACCAATTACAGATCATATATGGAGGCTCAACAGAACGAGCAGCTCGCAATCGGAATGTTGTGAATTCAAATCTTGGTTGGCGGTTGACTTGGCACATCATCCCTCTAGGCTCGATAAGAATGACTTTGTGGCGGTGTCAACAAAGGTCATCTTATGGATAGACTTTAACCCGACCATAGGAATGTGTAATGCCCACCACTGGCTCAAGTATGTAAACTAAAGAGCACCACCTCAATGCTCATTTGAGCAGGAAATCATTAACTCTTTCTGAGGTGCGCAATTTAATTAACAATTAGATATTCAAAATGAAACGAAATTCTGTGGTTTACACTGCAAGGCAGTGTACGCTGCAGCGGGCACTCACCATAAACACGTCGAACTCGTCGAGGCAGCGAAAGGGTGACTCCATGGCATTCCAGAGTGAGAGGAGGAAGCACACGGTAGAGAAGGACCTCTCCCCGCCGGACAGCAAGCGCATGTCATCTGCAGCTGCGTCTCCGTCGTCTCGCGACGTTTGCACCTGTACGCGCGCACCCATGCCACCATCAGCTCGGTACTCCTCCCATCCACTGCAGCTAAATCCCAAGTTGCATGAATCACATTAGCTGAGAAATCCCTTCATTCACACCGATCTAGGCACCAAGGAAATTTTCTTAGTTTTTTACAACACAACCGTGAGCCTGAAGGCTCAGAGTCTTACCCATGTACATCATTGCATATGTTTTTGTAGTTGTGCTAAAACTGCTTTATAGTTCTGCCATGTATTTTATGGTTGTGCTGCATGTTGTTCAGCACAATGTCTGATGTTTTTTATGGGGAAAATGCAGGAAAAACCCCAAGAACAAGCCCGCACACATCCACACCGACTGGGACCCAAACTTCAACAATCCTCAAGAAATAATTCAGTTGACAAAAATGGGATAGAAGATCGATCCAAGCCCACCATCCAAGTTAATTATGCACCCCATCCTCACAAATGAGCCACTAATGATGCCGTCTTACTGAGGAGGACGAGGAATCCCACCGCCTGCTTGGCTGGGGGGTTAATGAGCCAAGAAAAACTGAGAAACAGTGCCCACTGTTGCTGCTCGTGCTGTATTTGTTCTTTCGTATGGGAATATATCAACTATAGATTGATACAAAAGGTGTGAATCCTAGCTACTGGCTTCAGAAGACATCAAGTCGGCTCGGAAAATGCTCGTAGTGGATGTAAGTTCATGATACATTGCACTGTTGACTGCGGTGCGCCGCACTGGCATTTTGGACTATGCCTTTAATTTCTACTGCCGTAGCCAGGTTGGATAGGATTTAAGGTAGCCCACTGCTTGGGGGGGAAGTGAGAGCCTCCCGATGGCTCGGCCTTGCTCACCGTGATTTGCAACGTCTTTTTCTCATGGTCGAACGTCATCTTCCCCCGGTACATCAACTTGGCGAGCATCATGTCAAAGTTGTACTTACACCGGCACGAAATATATCTACGGAAGCGACAATACAAAATACCATCAAAAGCTGAAAACTAAAATGGGCCCTCCAAAAATATGTGAGTGCAAATAGTGTCCCGCACGTGACAAAATCTTTCTTTGGGGTGGGAGAGAGTAAAAATGTCAGAAAAAAAGTGTTGCAACTATAAAGTTGAATTCATGAAGCTCAAAAATGTAACGGCTTCTAAAGGCTAACTTGACGCACATAAACATCACACAACAGGGTGTCCCACTGTAAAACTATACGATGATAGCACTGGATTTTGCATTCCAGAATTGACTTGTGATTTCAGTGAAGTTCAATAACCTAATATTTTGTATTGCTCTTTCCATTTTTATAATACATAATTATATATTTAGCCTGGTATTAAGTACACGATTTTTCTTCAACAACAAAAAAAATCAACCATAATACAGTTTTGTGGGTTAGAAAACAATCTAACCCAAAACACTGTATTCAGGATATTGGTCGCAAAAGCCGACGTGTTAAACCAAAAAAATCTATATGCAGTCGTGGTAAAACCGGTTTAACAAATACTGCCGACTAACATTTGTCCAGGTGTGTAGGCCGATAAAAAAATGTTCATGTGGAATCTGTTTAATCCAACACAATTAAATGTAATGTACTCAAAAATATAGTAAGGGGCATCTTAATCTTATGTATAAAATATACAATCCAGAAAATAGCTCTTCTCGTGCAGATAAAACACCTTGGCTATTTTCCAGGCTCTGAAATGTCCGAAGGTTTTTTGCTCACGAAAAAAATACATTTTAAAATCAATAACAGGTGTGCTGTCAGAGGGCTAGTGGTCCCACTGTATTAACATAAATGTACGAGTTATGTTGCAGTGGTGTCACTCCAGTGCTACAATTGTATACCTGACCAGGACTTTAAAATCTTTTTGCTCAACATCATTCAAAGTGGCGTTAGACAGCCCAGTACAGAGCCAAGATGCTGATCTTCAATCGTTATTTGTTTTACGGATGAGTTATATTTGCAGATTAGCACATCAGTGTTTTAACAAGTTTGTTTTTGTGAATGGGAGATATATAGCTGTGCCATTTGAATTACATTTTCATTGCAATTAAACCCAGGTCACTATGGCAAATCAGACTATTCTGGTCACTGGAGTTCTCACCTGGTTAAACAAAACAAACTCGAACCTGAAACCGCTTACATCAGGAAAACACTGCTGCTGGAGATGCCACTCACCTCATGAACTGACTGTAGTTATGTTGTCTCTCATCCATAATTTTATCTAAGATATTAACAAAATACCGAATTGTCTTCAACTGCTTTTTGGAATTTTCATATTTTTTAACAGCATCGTGGTACTCCCTGTGAAAACAAGAGAAGCAACATCTAATTAAATAGGAGTTCACCACTCATCATCAATCTAATCAGGGCTCACTTTCAAAGGCTTATAACAAGACAAATTGTTCCTTATGAATCAGTACATGGTCTGAGAAAATGCATCCTAAAAAACGAAATGATACTCGATGCAGCAAAACACATTTGATATGTTGGAGGTTCTTCTAAAAAAATGCATGAAATTAAGTGCATTTAACATTACAGGGATGTGAAACTATTGTGCTTAGGTTTTTCTAGAATTGTATTTGGGAACATCTTCACAACTAATGCAAGAACTTGACATGGCTGCCCAATCTTCAGGCATACCTGTTGAACTGTTACAGCAACAAGACAGAAACATTGTTATTGAGTAACAGTGAAGAACACACTCCACATTTCACTTATTGAACATTTTGCTTGTTGTGGAATAGTGTGTTTGCACAAGTAAAATCCTCACAAAAAGAATAAAAACATATACTCATATTTTCGTAACATTCTCAGTAAACTGTATGGAAGTGAAAAGAATTGGGAGTTAAAATTAAAGGACAATCCAAAATTGCAGATGCATATTGAAACAAATGGTGCAATGCGAAGCAAGGACTTCTTGCAAAGAGTGATAGTTGTGGTCATGTTTATGTTGGCTTGACACACGCATTGGGCGCCACGAGCCAGGGTTAGCCAACTTTGAAGGTGTGTGCTGTATGCTGCCTGACGCACTGAGTGACGGCCTCAGCGTCTTCAATCACATCCAGCTCCTGATTAACCATGTCCTGCTTGGTCTTCAACTCCAGGACGATGGCTTTTGTGGTTTTCGTCACTTTCACACGTTGCGGGCAAATCCTCTGTGCCATCTCCACGACCTCCTGGCTCACAGGAAGACAGATCCAGCTTCATTAACACGTACAGGACAACAATATCTCACCTGAACAAGTGTACAATTAGGTATGTGTGTTGGGAACTGTGAATTATAAAAAATAATGCCTGATGAATGATACAGATATCTGGGATGTAATTCATCTTCTAAATGTAAAATGTTATTTTGTCAAAATGTATTGTGCAGAATCCAGCTGTAGCTGACAGGTATATTCCCTGGGTGTCCAGTCTTTCTTCTCTGGAAGGCTGCCCCACCTCTTTCCACACCACTAAAAGAGGGCAGAGCCTTGCCTCCCATACTTCATATGCAAAGTCAACATTTTACATAAAATCAACTATGCAATTATCTGTGGTCTAGATTAGAAACCAATTAAATGCACTGTAATTATAACCACAAAGGGCTCCCTTATTAATACATTGTTTGATCTTGTCCCATGTGTGACTCACAGTAATGGTTTTCTCAACTTTGTCCAGTTCTGCCTTCTTTTCTGCAATCTTCCTCAGGTGCTCCATGCGCTTGCCCTCGTAGTGCCTTAGGTTGTGACTGTGCTCTTCCACATCATTGCTGGCTGGAGTCAAATTATGCTAAAGAGGTAGAAGCATAGCACTCGCAGTCAGTGACGTCACTGCTACAGCACGAGAAGTTGCAAACATTTATTTGAGTTTATTTTGTTACATGGATGATCCCATTTAGCCAGTTGCCTGGCTAATTTACAAGGGAGATCTTCTTGGTGCATGAGCACAGCAGCAACAGAAACAACATTGCAGAGAATGAGCGCAGGGTCCTTAAGGAATATTGTACGAGAAACCAACTATTTAATGGTCGTAAATTAAATACACGCAAATCATAAGTGCAAATAAATTAGCAAGAGGTGCCTGAAAAAGTTAGGTACAGGTTCAAGTAAGCTCTATAGTTTAGTCTGTGACATAAAAACGCAAATAAAAAAAATACAGTGCAAATGCACTCACCCAGTAAATAAACCTGCGAAAGCACAATCATGACTTTACCGAAAGACCCAAAGAATATAAAAAGCACAACCAGTTTAGTTGCAAAATGTTTAACAGAATTCTCAAGATACCTTTATGGGTCCAGCCTTGTCCCTCATTGCATCCATTTTGTCTCTGATGTCTTTGTAGGCACTGGTCGCGGTCTGCAGCTCGGAGGTGGCCTCCTGGTTCCGAACCAAAGCCTCTTTCAGCGATGCCTCCACGCTCTCCTTGCGCTCAGAATACTCCCGCATCTCCTCCTCCTGATGTCCCATCATACAATGCAGTGCCCTAATTAAGTGGGGACATGGCTCAGCAGTAGTGCATCCGCAGCTTGTTGCAGAGGTTCGCGGTTCTAATCTGGCAGACCGCCTTGGTTATTGTTGCGGGTGTATTAACCATAAAGCAAGCGGAATCTGCTTCACAGTGGATATGAAACATCCCCTGATGTCATTCAAGCAATAGGACATCGTATATTGGTGTCATGGTCAAAATTTGAAAAATAACCTGCAGATTATTCCATTGGATTGCACACGGTAACATTAACAGCTACTGTGAAACTACTGACATCTCTGCAACATAGTGCCTTTGTGATCAACTTGTGCTTTTAGAATGGCGTGAATACCAAATGTATTAAATTATTAAGACATCCTACTGAGAATGTGGAGATGCCTTTAATAGACAGTCTTTCTTCCCCTGGATATGGAAAAATGCAGGTCTGGTCCTTATTGAATGCCTATGGGGAAACTACTACTGTATGTATATTACATGAATGTTTGTTTTTGTATCATAAAAGAGAAAGTAAGACGAGAATTCTCACCGAATAGTGAACATGCGTGTGTAATAATATAATAAACGTTACATTTACAGCACCATTCATGCAAAACACCCCAAAGTGCTAAACATACATAAATACAAAAAACATTATATAGGGAAGTAATAACCAAACTACAGATGCAAAGCTATATTTTTAAAACAACGAAAATTATTGAACAAAAGAAAAACATTAAACATAGAAATTCTAATCATGTTAAAAGGCTATTTTATGTGTTTAAACTGTATTTAAAAACATCCAGTGAAGGAGTACCTCTGATAAAGGAAGGTAAGAGAGGTGCATGTAATGTGTCTAGAAACAATGGAGTATTTATTCCACTGAGATGTAACAACATCTTACCAAGGCACTGATATCCAAGGGAGGAGGCTCTTCCATGTTTTCTATTTGCACGATCTGCAAATTGAGTTTATTGATATTTCCCTGTAGAAACACACACACATTTCAAATATGGCAAACTTGACACTGCCGTGGTGTAGCGGTTAGCACACGCTGGACTTGCAATCCAAAGGTTGTTGGCTCGACTCAAATCTCCCGGTGTGGCAGTTCTGAAAAATGGGAAAGTTTATTTAATCCTTCCGCCTGTCCAACCAGCAGTATAAATGGGTACAGCAACCAGTTAGTCGACCAGGTCACATTTGGTGATCGTGGAAGAGTAGGCCAAATACCTTCTAGAGGGCGGTCTTGACAGCTTCTCATGAAGGCCCTTTTACCAGCAGTGGCATGAGCAAGCAATTGAAGGACCGTACTTTCCTTTAACCGCTGATAGCAGGTGTGCTACCTTTACAACTGGATGTACATACATAAATGTAAGCTGATATACATTACCTGAATTATCATTTGTTGTTGAACTTTACTGGTCAGCTGACTCTCATTTTTGCGGTTCTCTTCCTGGTTTAACTTGATACTCTCCAATGCATTCTGGAGCTGCACTTGTCTGTGCACTTTCTCTGTCTGAAGCTGCCTTTAAGCACAAGAAGGATTAAAGAAACAAGTAAGCATGTGACACAACAGCATACCAACGGCATGTGTCACAACATAGAGACCACTCAAAGCATCCAAAGTAATCTCTATAAAACAGAACATACATCGACAAAGTCAAATACCAAGTGTAAACTATGGTTGTTGCAACATAGCTAGACAAAAATATATTGCACGATATACAGTCCACGATAACCGTATTGTCTGTTGAGCAAAATATAGTTATATAAGTTGTCATTTTTTATCCTATTTCCTGATTAAATATTTGTTAATTCATGCTATATTACTCATTATACATGCTCGTTTTCTTGCATCACAAATATTATGGTTGAAGACTATTTTAGTGATGTAATTAATCAATTATTATGTAACGAGCAGCATGTACGTGACAAGATTGCACAATTATTTAACGTGTCGGTTTGAGTAATTTTTGAAGACACTACAGTTGTAATTACTGGCGAAACGTCGTACTCAGATTGTAAATGTTGTGGCTTTGCTCTCCAACACACCGGTGTGCTGTACTAATAAGGAATTCGCATGTTTTGTTTTCGTGACAAACCTTACTAATTGGCTATGTCAGATGGTGGCGGGTTTAACGACACCTTTATATATTTATGCGATCTAACCCAAAACACCTGTATCATGAGTAAACTGCAGTTGAACTTTTAAGTAAATATTTATTCTGGAAGAAAACAGCAAAAATACATTAAAAAATTAAAATGTAACTAAGTTATGGGATATCGTAGCAACCCTAGTGGAAACCCTTTATAGATGGTGTTGTGTAAGCACAAATACAGTAAAACCTTGGATTGCAAGCATAATTCGTTCCGGAAACGTGTTTGTAATCCAAAGCACTCGTATATCAAAGCACTCGTATATCAGTTGTGAACACGTGACGCTCGGCAGAAAAAGGGTATACACATACTACTCGTATTGCAAGACCTCGCTCGTTTATCAAATTAATATTTATTTTAAAAATGTGTTCGTCTTGCAAAACACTCGCAGACCAAGTTACTCGCAATCCAAGGTTTTACTGTAATGCATTTCAAGGATAAACAAATACACAGGCTAGTTTAAATATTTCAAAGAAGCCTAGCATATTCTTTGGGTCTTTTGTCCCGATGACGATCGCTTGTGTTGCGATCGAAACGTCGTAGTTTTATGTTATTTTTTTTCAACCTGTCTAAGTGACTTTACCGAAAGACCCAAAGAACATGAATTCCTGCAGTCACGAAAGCTTTAAGTCAAGTTTTACGCCTAGCATACTTGGTGCCACTGTGCACTCTGCAAGCAATGAAGTGACACTTGGGAAACAATACCCCGACCGCAAGCATACGTACCTGACCTCCTCTTCAATGTCTTCGTGGAGGTATTTTGGATGAAAAAAAGCGCACGAGTAGTATCGGTTGGCGAACACATGGTCACCGTTCTTGGTGAAGGCTTCCCGGCAATTCTTGGGTGGCACTTCACTTTGCATCACTTGGCGGGCGGTGGCGTTTTCCTGCAAAGTGGAGCATGTGACTAACTGATATTGCTGGTAATTATGTCATTCACTCAGGTAAGCTTCACTGGGTCTCAATACCATTTTCAGGATATTGGTTCCTTTCTATAAATGTGTGGCACAAGGGAAGTAACGGAGCAACCGGATAAAATCCACAAATACGAGGGAATGACACTCAAAAGTCCATAATGAAAGGATCACAAAGCCACTTAATGTACTGCCACCTAATGGCCACCTGACAGCCAGTGGGCTTTCAAGTGGAAGCAAATTATGAAATACGTTTCAGCAATCTTCACGTATGCATGATCACTTCATGCTGCATTGCACATCGGCTCTGTGCTAAGTCTAAGCCTACATTCAGCCAAACACTTCCAGGAAATCGGAAAAATGTAATAAGGTGTAAACATGTTTGAAGTCCAATACATTCTACAAACAGTGATAAAGTCGAGAATGTAGCCTATTTATTTTAATGAGGCATTTTTCAAATAAACTAAACTACAAAGTTTAGGTGGATTAAATATTACTCACACATTGAATTTTAACCTTGAAGCATTTCGGAATTGGTTAGCTTTTCTCCTTAATTTAATAAAGGGATGACGATGTGTTCATTCTGTTCCAAAACTGACGTGTACAAAAGATTAATATCTTCAAAAGAAAAATACAAGCCCTTTGATCACCATATCTACATCTCTATATAAGGAACGAAACAGGTGGAATTCTCCACAAATCTAGCTGTCGCCTGATGAAGCTAGTTGTAATTACTGGCGAAATGTCGTACTCAGATTGTAAATGTTGTGGCTTGGCTCTCCAACACACCGGTGCGCTGTACTCGTGACGAATTGGCTTGTTCTGTTTACGTGACAACCCTTACTAGTTGGTTGTGTCGGGTGGTGGCAGGTTTTAACGACACATTTATATATTTATGCGTTCTAAACAAAAAAAACCCTCTATTATGGATATTGGTCGTGAAAGCCTACATGTTAAAATGCTTAAAAGAACTGGTGTATAATAATGTACTCATCAAATGGGGCTCACATATTTTAAGTGAGAAAATGGGACTGCAACACACTCCCCAAAGGTTTGAAAAAAGCGATGGTAAAAAAAGGCAGTGCCGGCCTTTACAGATGCTACTTGCGAACTGCACTTGCCCCTAGTTAAAGGCTGCAGGGAGATCTTTGTCTTTGGTGCAGTGGTTAGCGCACTGCGCTACGAACCGGGCTGACCTGAGATGAATTCTCAAACAAGTTTAAACTCAACGCATTTGTTAATGATACAAACCGTGTGTGGCCTGAAAAGAAAACTATATCAGAGATGTTTCGGGTAATAGCCCTTTATCATAGCACACACTGGTGAGGGTTAACCTAAACTAACCTTTTCCAGACGTATAGCTACAGTTAATCAGCAGTGTTATTATTACATTTTCTACTAAATATGTACGTGAAGAAAGTTTATTATGTTATGTGTGATAGGAAATTTCTCAGGAACATAACCTCCCCTATTGTTTCTTATGGGGAAATCAGTTTCGCTTAACGTTGATCACTTAAAGTCGCATTTTCCAGGAATGCAACCGAAATGTTAAGCCACGAGTGACTGTATAATAAACATACTTTATACATTGACATTAACTCACTTAAATAATTAATTATACGGGTAGTAACCTCCTGGTTACACCAGCCCACAGGGGATTATTTTGTCCGTATGTCATGCAGGGAGGAGCTGGGTGGGGAGGGAGGGGCTGGGCGCGGAAGGGTGGGGAGGGGCTGGGTGGGGAGGGTGGGGAGGGGCTGGGTGGGGAGGGTGGGGCTGGGTGGGGAGGGGCTGCTCACCCCGTGGTGCCCTTATCAATGTTTAACCTACTCACGCCGGCTTGTGCCCGCCCTCAGTCGGGCATATTTGCAGAATACACCACGCCACCGTTGACCCTGGCCATTGACCGAGCAACCCAACGTTACTACCAGCTCCCTCAGCAGGAATGTTTTTGGCAGATATCTAAATTCTATTGCCCCAGCTTTATTTGACAAGGCAAAAACTTTTAAGTGACCATTCTCCACATTTTAAAATGCAGGCCTCTGACCTTTATGAGTAGAATGGACTCGATTCCACGATCGTCTATCAGGATGTTTGCCACGACTGGTTTCTCTATTTCCAGGCTCTCCAACACAGAAGGGTAGATGGGATGCCTCACAGCACTGCGGTAAAACCCCACCACATGGGCATTGCATTAAAACCACAACTGCATATCGCTGGCAAGGATAGTTTGCTGCGGTATAGCGATACAAAATATCGTACAATATCAAATTCATAATTGTATCATCCATTTTGTTAAATATTATTAAATGGTGATTTATGCTCATTTAATGTCCTAAATAAGTTATTGCTGAGTAAAATATTCATGAACTATCAAACTCTACAATTAAAAGTTAGTGCTTTGCTAAACATATTTTGGAGTAATGAACGGCATTGACACAGTAAATTTAATCATTTTCACATGTTAGTATAACTGACAGTATGTGTTAAAAGCATTATATATGATAACGATTATAAATAATAATGGCAGGTATACGTTCAGTGAACTGCAGTTGCGTAGTTTTAAGTCATCTATTTGTATTAGAAGTACAGCAATGCACAACAACAATAAAATATGGAATACAATTACATGGTTATGTGAAACAAATATTTGTGAAAAGAGCTTCAGAGCTCATCAGATTCCTCCAGTCTAAAACAATATTCTTATTCTGATAAAGATAGAGAAATAATTGCTATATTGTGAAAATGGATAACGCACCCTGCCATAAAAAAGTTAAGTTGCGGCAATCCTAGTGGCAAGCAAGCACCACGAAGCTCATCTGCCAGAGCGTTTGTGAGAATGGTATAACGGCACCTGGCTCTGATGTCATGGAGCTGGTCTTGGAATTTCACGCAGATGATTTGTGGTCGCCAACCCCGGAAAAGGCCTTGCATGAGCTTCTCCAAAATGACCACGTCAGATGAGTGCCCGCAACAGAAGGCCAACAGTAACCCCTTGAGGCAGCTCTCCAAGGCCAGTGCCAGCTCCGGGTCTCGAGCCTTAATATAGGCACCTGTCCCGTGTCAGGCAAAAAAAATAGTGTATCAGGCACTGTACTCTGACCTCTCTCAGGCAGCAGTGGCTGACAGGAATGGGGGAGAAATGCTTTGGCACAATGAGTAGTGAGATTTCAAGAATGTCAGGGGTAAATTAGCTAGGCTGTAGAGATTAACCAATTTCCAACATCAATATAGGACAGTTTAATTTTAAAACTTGATCATTATGGGCAGGATTGCAAATTTCCGCATGTATTTTTTTTCTTTAAATGCATCGACATGAACAGATAATTGTTCCTGATGAGCATCCACCCAAATTAACTGAAGTGCAAATAGCGGGCAACAATTGTAGTAGTAAATTCGTTAATTTATCTCGGTTGTAATTTGCAACATACTGGAAGTAGTGAGGCAGAAATAAAAATGCGAGTCAATTACACCCGAGTGTATAAAACAGCTCAACAAAATACATCTGGTGCTTCAGCATTAAAACAGCATCAACAACGATCCACCTCTACAATGTGTACATCCTTCCCGTACTACTCTGTGGCTCAGAGACGTGGTCAACGACAGCATCCATGAGCTAGAAACTGGGCCCCTTCGACCTGTGATCCCAGCGACAGATACTCCGCATTCACTTCAGCGAGCACATCACCAACGCCGAGGTCTGCCTTTCCACAGGGTGCCCATCAGTATCTGACACGGTCAGACCCAGAAGACTTTGGTTCTTCAGACACACTCAACGGGCGAATGCCTCTGCAGGTCACACCAGAAACCTGCGCACGATCATCGACGGCCCACCACGGGATTGAAGACGACCCCGGTTGTAACGGACACGAACTCCTGAGGTTGATTTTCACCACCATGGCCTTGGCCTGCACTCAGCGTGGTGGCGAACGCAGGGTAGGATAACCTGGTGGTATCTCATGGGGGTCACTATGCCCCAAGGCATTTGCGCCTCATGATGATTAACTCTCCATCATGTGTGAATGCATTCTGCTAGGAGTGGTCTAGTGACAGGCAATGTGAGGATCAGTTGTATGTTGCTTACCGATGGGGCCAATGGGCTTTTGATGGAACTTCCCAGCCTGATATGCATTCTCGATCTTCTGTAGCAGCTCTGGGAACTTCGTGTTGAAGCGACTGAGGTTCTCTGTGCGACTGGCGGCCAGCTGCTGCAGTCGCTTTTCTGCAGCGTCAAAGCTACGCTTTATGTCCTGGTGCTCTCGTCTGTAAATGCACACAAAAATATTCAGACAATCCCTTTTGCAGCCTACATAGAATGTTCGGGGCAAGTGCTGTATGCAAGCACCTATTAAGGCTCGTACAGTACAGAGGTAACCAGGTGGCTCAGTGGTCAGAATGCTGAGCTGCCAGCTGCCAGCCCTGAGATCTTGGGTTCATATTCAGGAAACCACACCTGATTAAATTATGAACTTACAAAAAAAACATAGTATGGAAATTGGTTTGGCACTTAATATGGCTAAATCCTAGCTTTGGAAATAATATAGATTTGACCATCATGTAATGGCATTACTGTGGTCCTGGTCACTTTCAATAGCAGTCCTTGGTGTACAAACTCTTCTACGTATTCCAGTCACGTCCCTTCAACAGATTTCTCATTTTGTTTAGCAAACGTGTTCAACGTTAACATTCGTTTGCCATGCCTTTTGGCGTCCTCTGGTCTAACACCGTTTTGAGACTTCGCTCACAAGAAAGCCGTCTCTGGTGTGGACCAATCAGTTTTAAAGACAATGCATTATCAGTATGTTTTTGTTTGCATTCTGACCACAAGTATTGTAGTTAATGCAGACATGATTGCTTGTAAAATATTTCAGTATTGTGTTTTTAACATCTTAACACCTGTTTTGTTGCCAGAAAAAACGGGAAAACCTATTCTCATTTGTTTTTCTCATTTCTATTTTGAGCTCAATTTTGCAGTAGTCTTTATTAAGTTCCTCCAACATTCTCTGTAGGTTGTGCCCACAAGATGTTACAATGTCTTTGTCATCAGAAAATCTGAGTTCTTTCAAAATGAATTTCTGTCGAGAAACATCGATGTTAACTTCTCCAACATACAATCTATAAACAATGCAAAGCTGCACATGAGCCATTCCCATCTCGCAAGATCCTGCAATGGAACAATCCAACTAGAACCTGTACATGAGCCAAATTGTGATAAAGTATCCATATATGGCATCAACTGAGATGCTGATTAATTCTTGATATAATTACTAAAGCAAAAACAGAAACAAACTGATAAAATAACACCAATGCACCAACACACACAACACCAATGGTAATTATTCAGCCAAGCAGGAGAAAATGTAGCGAGTAAGAATCCACTCCCGTTGTATGCACGCTATTGTAACAATCCTGCAAACACAACGGTCACCACCGAAGAACCACAGCACTCACCGGAGCTTGTACGAGTCCTCCTTCTGCTTGTTGATGGCCTGCTTAAAGTGCTCGATTTGCTGGATCAGCGTGTCATCCTGGGCCTTCAAGTCTGTCAGCTCCTCCTTGAGTGATAGCACACTCCAGGCCCTTTCCACTCGCTCCGCTTCCGTCAACTGCTGCTCCGTACTGGCAAAGAGAGACATGCACGTCTAACAGCCATGTCTCGACAAGGTGTGCTAGCACTGTGCCGTCTGCACAATTCTGTTTGTCTTACAAGACAGGTGCTGATATAAATTACCATTTCTAGACAATGACGTTGAACACAACAAGGTCACTGTTTTATAAGTGCAGTTGATCATTGATTATCTGGCGTGTGATTATACGGCTTTCAACATGATCCGGCGGCCCTGGGCTGATTCCGGCGAAACCGGCAAAACCACTCCAAAGGCTTTACCAGTCCGGCGATTGCCACCATGTGCATGACAAAAAAAGTAGCAATGCTTGATTTTAGTGTCAAATATTTTCCACAGTACATTATACAATACATACAACTTAAACGATGAAAATAGTGCACGTACATACATTTTTCATGACTAATAACTACAGTAATAAAAACTGAAAATATACAGTGTGATCCACCGAAAAGTGTCATACGGCATTCGCTGGCGCACCGGTCTAAAGGCTGTATCAGTCCGGCGATCATCAAACACATGTTGTTGAAACAAGAGCGTACGTACATCACCCCATGCAGTCTTCGAGATTGGAGTGGTAGGTACAGTAAATATAGTAACTTTTTCAATATATTTATTTTTAGTCTATTTGTATGTTTATTTAAGCCAATTTCATATAGTAAACAAATGTGAAAGACGAAAAAAAACACACACGCCTATAAACATATGATACAATAATGCGCAAAAATAAGATATTTTAAATAATTACGTGATTATTCGCCATTTTGGAAAACCTGGCGCCCCCTTCACCCCCGGTTATAATCGATGATCCACTGTACTTGATTGGGAAAAATTCCGATGGCAGTTGTAAAGCATACTTTTTACACATGCGTGTTTCTAACATACTAGCCTTTTGCCCATGCAAGGACGGGTGTATTGCAGTAAATCTCAAACTTGCAAACGAAAATCGGACCGCGGCGTGATATTCATTGCATTAGTGCGTGTGCAGTTTGTAAGGATGCGGTGAAACAGACCTATTTAATTTTAAGGTTATAATCCCTTGCTCATCATGACGTCCTTTTTACTTTGATGTCTCAATAGCTTTACGGAGATCGCGTGACGCGAGGGTTCTGCCTTTGTAGTGAGGGTTGTAAGTTGACGCTGAGGAGGGGGGAGGAGCTTCGACCAGGGGCCTGGTCGACGTGGAGTGACGTCACGAGCCTTGCACACAGACATTCTTGGCTCATTATAGTAGCTAATAATAATGGAGGGGGAGGGTGCTCCATGTGCAGGACATAACCTGTTCATGATTATTAATGAGGGGGGCTGGTCGATGTGGAGTGACGTCACGAGCGTTAAGGACATTCCTTGGTGATTATCGTAGGTGTAGAGGTGATACGCGCTGGGATTAGAGATCGTATGCCAGCGCGTAATGATTGGCTGTGTAGGTGGTGACGTGCGCTGACGGTGGAGGATCAGGGGTCAGCGCGGGGTCGTGGGTTACGGGGTACTGATTGGCTGTGGACGGGTGACGTGCTGAGAGGGAGTGATCGGGTGGCAGCGCGGTGTGATTGGTGGAGGAGTGTTAACACGCGCTGGGGAAAACGGATCGTAGAGAGAGTGCGTCGTGATTGGTTCATTAAGGAGCGATGCTCACGTTGAAGTACGCATCAGCTCCGCCTCTCGTGAGCAGGGGCTATAAAAGGGGATGCACACAGGCGTGAGGGCAGTGTGTAACCAGCGAAGAATGAAGACGGGGATGAAGACCTAGGGCCCTGCGGTACCTAGTCCCGCTGTCCTAACGGGACCGGGACTCTGTGTAACCCAGAGGCGAGTGTAGTGTGTGTAGCCATAGGCGTAAGGTCTACACGAGCCGAATGCAGTGTATTGTGTAGCCAGGGACATAGGGTCTACACGAGTCGAGTGTATTGTGTAGCCAGGGACATAGGGTCTACACGAGTCGAGTGTATTGTGTAGCCAGAGGCGTAGGGTCTACACGAGTGAAGGGTATCGTGTGTAGCCAGAGGCCTAGAGTTTACACGAGAGTAGTGGTGTGAAGTCGGAAGAAAGGAGACTACACGTTGTATTTTGATACGTAAAGATTTAATAAAAGTGTGTTCCCGTCAAGAAGTTCCTGCCGTCAATTCCCATACTTCATAGGTATGCACCACTTAGTGGTTTAACATCTGCATACACATGCGTGTTTTCTAGGTCGTGTTTCAAAGCGAGACGTTGTTGAGTGGGGTGCAAGCAACACATGTCCACCTGTTTTTGAGCTCATCGATGTGCTTGGCCAGTTTGTCACAATCCTTTTCAATAACCCTTAGCTGGTTCTGCAAAGAGTTCACCAATGCCTGAAACATATATGATTTCTCTGGGTTAAACACATGATTCTCAGCACATTGATTTTTGAACATATGCAGGCAACATCACATCAATCAAACAGTTAAGAAAAACAGCTTCGGCAAGGCACATCACAAGGCATGATGGCCGATGGTCAAGGACAGTGATGGAGTGGCCGTTAAGGAATATATGTTCAAGACAAGCAATGAATCAGTTGGTGTGTAGATATGAGCTGGATTATTACATCGCAGGATCATAAAAGATGGGAACAGCTTGGGGAATCCTTCATCCAGCAGTGATGAAACTTGAAATAAGGGTTTTGTTTATACTCTTTGGGTCTTTCGGTAAAGTCACGTAGATAGAAAAATAATTTTTAAAATCACGGCGTTTCGATCGCAACACAAGCAATCGTCTTCAGGTGAAAAAATACAGCAGGCGAACTGCTGAGGCAGGAGAAATATAGCAGGAGAGCTGCTGCAGCAAGGGGTTATAAAGGTTTGAGATGGGTGCAACCCAAGGGTAAGCGGGCAGGGCCAGAGATAGAATTTGCATGTAAATGTAAGATCGGAGAGCCTGAGTATGAATTCCTGCAGTCCCGAAAGCTTTAAGTCAACGTTTTGTTTATACCATAAGTAATTATCCAATTAATCTATGAGCATGTACACACAAAAACGTTTGATTGTTATGGTTTTAAATGGGATGGTATCCAAGAGGCAGATGCCCATTCACCTTCTTTATTTTCACAGCGCTCTTCTTTGCATCCAGGTTGCGTTTGCCTTCCACGTTCTGCTCCATGAACAGTTCAAGATCGTTTTTCAGCTGATTTAGCTGATCTTCAAAGCTTTTGTACTTCAACTCGGCTGCTTGAAGCTTTTTCTGTTGCCACATGAATGGACAAACAAAACAAAATTTAGAGTGACGTGAGGACATACCACGTGGCCTATTGTCTACTTGGAGCCACAGCTGGATCACATAAAGAATCCATTACCTTTCTGACTCTTTAGGCAGCGCACAAAATGTGGATTCTGTACACAAGCACACTGAGAATATTGACAATGTCCAATCATTTTCACACGGAGTAAAATTATGTGCTTTTGTAGCACATTAATTCACATGTTGAAGTTTACACGTGAAGGATTAATGATTGCTGCACCGTCAACCAGTGCCAGTTACCTGGTGTTCTTCCACATTCTGGTCAAATTTTACGGTTCGATTCTCCTCCGCCCTCAGCTGATCCTGCAGAGTCTTCAGGGTAACCTCTTTGTCCCGAACCTGCAAGTCAGAGTGATAAAGAGACAGTGTGTACCTTAGACATAATAGATTGTGTAGGTTGTTTACAATGGATCAATTCAAATTAACATGTGTCTAAACGCACTTATAAGGTGTAACTCAAGGTCTGCTTGTAACAGGCCTGCTTCATGCACTGCCTTAAAAATATGCAATGAGTGGGTACAAATAACAATAATTTGCAGGACTGGCCTCAGCCCAGGCAAGTTGATTCTGCAGTTCCATGATGTAACGCTCGAGATCCTGCATGTTGGCAATTCTCTGAAACTTCTTCTGCTTCTCCTTGACCACCTTTGATAGGTCACGTAAGCTCTAGACACCACACAGCAGTCGGAAACATGTCATCAGATAAGAAAAAAATAACTGTATAGCTAAAGGACATTAATGTTGAAAACTGGTTCAGGGGGCTAATACTGTGTTAAGAGCACAGAACCACCAGTGCCGAGATCCTGAAGTCAAATCTGTAATCAAATTGGCATTTTAAGTGTAGCGAGTTCATCTTCTCAGCCTGGTCACTTCCGAATGTACAAAGCACCATATTAAATGTCGCTATTCGCTGAATTATGGAATATTCTGCCTTATGAAGTACAGATTTGGTTTGATTGCCATGGGATGAACACTTCTGTAGCAAACTATGTTTAAAGGTGCACCATATTAAGAAACGTCTTAATTAGTTCTGTAATGTCATTTTCCAATGGTAATTTTCTCAAATAATACAGTTTGCTTTTATTTAGTGCTATGCATGCGGAGCATCGCAGGAGACTTTACAATAAAAACTCAAATTGAAAAATAAACTAACTAAAACACTTTTAAATTGTTATTATAAACATTTGATTTTTCCAACATTCCTTTACATAACACAGAAAATAGTTATAGAGGTAGGGAGCTAGTTCTAGAAGCCATTGCCCCTCTGATATTAGATGACTACTCAGAACTATAAAAAGTTTGGCATTCATTTGAGTGCCATTAGAGTTTACTACTAATTGGTACAATCAAATATACAATGGCAATAAAATTCCATCCGACTGGCTACAATCCATCTTTGTGGCCATACCAAAGAAAGCAACAAGCCGGAAATGCGAGGACTACAGACTGATAAGCTTGATGAGCCACGTGCTGAAAGTCTTCCTGAAGGTGATCCAACAGCGCATACGCTCCACATGCGAAAATGCATTGAAGAACACACAGTTTGGCTTCTGCAAAGGACTAGGCACAAGAGAAGCAATCTTCTGTCTACAGATACTACTACAGCGATGCTACGAACATCAGAAAGAAGTGTACATCTGCTTCATAGATTACGAGAAAGCCTATTCTTAGGTGTTTTCGGTAAAGTCACGTAGGTAAAACATCAAAATTAATAAAATAATAAAATAAAAATAAAGATCACGACGTTTCGGAGGCAACACAAGCCTCCTGTCATCAGGTGGGACAGTCACAGCCAGATCAGCTGCATCAAGTGAGGCAATGATTCAAGATGTAATCCCTTAAAAGCGAACTTGTGTATTGACTCAGTCGACCACGACCGACTAGCAGCTCTATTAAAACAACTGGGACTAGATAAAAACGACATCAACTTCATCATTGCTCTTTATTGGAAGCAAACAGCCCAACTCCGATATGACAACGAATTGACAGACCCAACACCAATACAAAAAGGTGTACGACAGGGCTGCCCACTTTCACCCAGTCTTTTCAACATCTACTCGGAGCAGATTTTTGATCGAACACTAGCAGATAAAAACATTGGTATTAAAGTCAATGGACAATACATCAACAACATCAGGTATGCCGACGACACTGCACTGCTGGCCGATTCAGAACAAGACCTACAACAAATCTTGGACGAGGTTGCCACAGAGAGTCAAATATGGGGCTTACGAATTAATAAAAAGAAAACAAAGGTTATGAAGGTCAGCCGAACTACAAGCGAAATAACAATCACGCTGGGCAGCGAAAAATTGGAACAAGTACACCGATTTAAATACCTTGGTGTAATCATTGACGATCAGTTGAACCATGAAGTCGAAATCAAGAGCAGAATTGAACAAGCAAGGCAAGCATTTATTAAATGGAAAACACTCCTTGCAGACCGCAACTTGAGTACATCACTGAAACTGCGCACACTGAAATGCTACATCTGGTCAATTTTGCTGTACGGAGTAGAGACGTGGACACTGACAACAACAGCAACAAAAAGGCTCGAAGCTTTCGAAATGTGGCTGTATCGAAGAATGCTGAAAATCCCATGGACAGCCAAAACCACCAATACACAAGTTCTGCAAGATATGGGCACTGACAGGCAACTGCTGAAGACCATCATTAGCAGGAAGTGTTACTACCTAGGCCACATTGCCCGAAACGACCACAAATACCAGCTATTAAAGCAAATCCTGGAAGGAAAAATCGAAGGGAAAAAACGACCAGGACGGCCAAAAACGACATGGCTCAGTAACATCAAAACATGGCTACAATTAACAACAGCACAAACTCTACACGCCGTGCTAGACCGGGACCAATATCATCGATAAGTCGCACACGCCGTTAGGCAGCACTAAAGAAGAAGAAGAGTTTACTACTAACATTGTGAATGAAAATATATTCATTTCATGACATAACATTGATAACACAATTGGAATATAATTTAGAAAAACGAAAAAAAGCATTTATCTCCACACCACGTAACCTGTTATTGTGTGCACATTTGTACATGTTAATAGGTAAATGAGGGCATTTGTATAACTGTGTGTATGTGTCGTAAACTTATTTTAACGCATGGGTTTAATGGTTACATACGCCTTCCTGCCGACACAGTTTTTCTTCGGTGATTTTCTTCGTTTCCATGATCTGCTGATAGTCATTTTGCATCTGCTCCAAATGAGTGGCCTTCATGAAAAACTGAAAATATAATTTACAAGATGTATTAAACCAATTACAGCAATTAGCAACTGCTCGAAATAAAAAATGTGGTTGAATACAACCACGGTTTTACCCATGTGTAACACGATACATGTTTTCCAGTAAAGAAAAACGTTTCGGTGCCAAAAATATCCCGCAGGTCGACTTCAAACACACAAATTACCTTGTACTTATCATGTTCATCCTTTGAATGAAGAAACTGCTTGCTCATTTCTTGGTTGAGTATGGAAACAGGATTATCCACCTAAATAAAACAGATTTTTTTTATTGTCACAGACAAACTAGACACCAAACATTTAATGCCAATAAATTATTCACAAGCTATTAGAATTTGAAAATCTGGTCCGGCTCTTGTCCTAAGACGATAATATCCCACAGCCGCTCTTTGTAATGGGAACAGTGACAGAATAATACATGCATTTACTGTTAACAAATTTTATTTTGTTCATTTTACTGACAAACCTGAATATTGAAATGATCCAAAATAGTGTTAAGATCTTCTTTTTTTGTGCTCACAATTCTTCCTGCAAAAAATAATCAAAAGTAAAATACATATTTTGGAGGTTCTGAAACATGTTCAATGATGTCAGTATTAAATCAAGTTTCATGAAGTTTATGGGGTTTCTCATGACGTTATAATGTAGAGTAGAAAATACATGCCAGCAAAGTAAAAAAATATGATTTGAAGCTTTCGTGACTGCAGGCATCCATACTCTTTGGTTCTTTCGGTAAAGTCGCAGCACAAGGCAGCAGACATCGTGCTGCTCACAGCAGACATCGTGGCTATCGCGATTTTCACCTGAAGACGGGCGCTTGTGTTGCGTTCGAAACGTCGTGATTTATTTTGTTTTATTTCTACCTACGTGACTTTACCGAAAGAGCCAAAGAGTATTAAAAAAATATGCCCAATTCTTATCCAGATGATTAATTATTAATATACATCCTTCCCAAAGGACAGGATTCAAGTCTGCTCGATGGAGTGAGACAGCTTGCTATAGACACTGCAGACAGAAGAAATGCATGATGTGAGGAGCGTACCAGATTTGCTCTTCAGTTTGTACCGCTGTCCGTCACAACTTATGTGATTGTCAATGATGATGGAGTCTCCATACTGGTCATGCTTATACGGGTCATCCCCAACATTTCGCAGTGTTATGGAGATGTCTGCAGAACTGTTTAACAAAGAAAAAACACAGCTCAACATGAACACGTCAATCCACTGTATAATATAACTGGTTGGACTCACCGCCTTATCTTACAAATAAACTATTCCACTCATCATTGTGAGCTTAACTATAAGGCTGGTTTTTCACCCTGTTTCAACTCAGAGGGAGACACATTTAACCAAGTTTGTCTTTATTGCACGCACACATAATTCAGTTCCTTGCCTATTCAGTTTATTCAGGACCAAAACCTTAAGACACCCCACAACACCCAAAGTGCATTGCATCAAGGCAATAAACCTCACATGGGTCCCACCCATTCTGTTTATGCTCCAAAACCTGGAAATATCCTTAGTTACTCTCAGATAAATCACGATTGTATGCTACATTTTCACTTCTTTATAACTTCATTTGCAATTACATTTAACTCGTATATACACGTCTGTTTAGATATTCATACAAGTCACTATTACTATTTTATGTTTCTGAAAGTTAATTGTAATTGTACTATGACCAGTCTTAAAAGATTTTGCCTAAATTACACTGCAAGGTATTATTCAACTCTAATTTGGGTGTGCAATATTTTCTATTTCTCACGTGACACCATTGCTTTGGGTCTCATTTCTATTTGCTTTCTTACTGAACTTTCGTCACTTTGGTGACCTCAGTCACCCTTGCAAATGAGGCTTATGTTGGTCTTTTGAGTTCTCACCTGGTTAAACTAATATTCTTGAAACTTGGCACATTGCTGTGCACCTTTTATGCGTTGTCAGCGATTCCCCTCCCCTGTTACTACTTTGCACCCTAGTCCATACCCATTTCCCCTGTGTTTATTGACGATTGAACAAATTGTTGGAAAAAGCGTAATCACAAATTAATGCTAAACATTCAAGTGCTTGGCTGGAATACCGAAATACAGGCAGAACTTGCCGTCAGGAACGCATCACCATATAGACAATAGTATAATGACTCCTTTTAGCACGGATTTGATGAGAGCTAACTTCTCCAGGAACACATCTTGTGCACTAAGCGAGGTCTAAGTGTATTTGACTAATTGTTGAAGACTACGTTACACAGTACAATTGTGAAATCAAGGTTTTATTATGGGTTGGTTAAGAACCATGTATTTCCATTTCATTGAGGGGGCATGCCAGTGGTGCAAGAGATGATGTATAAGTACCTCTGTCCATGCTTTATGAAGGTTTTCATGGAGGAGCCTCTGCTAGTGAGGAGCGCTTTGCCTCCCAGCCCCACGATAAGTGCTGTAAGAACAGCACTCTTACCACCTATGGATGTAGAAGTCAGAGAGCACGTCTCATCAACACTCACGTTACTTCAAACCACTTTGACTTACAGTAATACTTCTTATTGGGAAGAAAATCACACCAGTAATATAATTTCTTACCTCACTCTATTCTATAGATTTTGACATAATGCAGTGAGGGTGATTGATGATCCAGGGCTCATTAAATCACTCTAGTGAATCTCACCATCGGCCAGTCACCTCCTTACGATTCGTATATCACGACTACCATGGTTTCTGCTCTCATGAATTTCACTCGTGGATTCCTCCACCCGTACTGGATCCTTGGTCCACAAGACTGTTTTAATCTCATGCACTGCTGTGTTCAACCACCATAAAACTCGAGGCACTTTTATTTCTGCTTCTTCCCTCAATTAAAAAATGTGTTAACTCTTATCTATGACAACTGTGAGTGCTGTTTGTTGCTGGCTGCTTGATATTATTGGGCCTTTGGACCTGTGATTAGCAACAGTTAACAAAAAATCCTGCAATGCAGAGAATATTGCAGCAAGATACACTTGAAACATGTGCAAGGTGTCACGTTATACAAATCGGGTCACACGCCCCAACCAGATTTTAACAGACTCACAACTTATGTTTTACAATACTGGAAAAAGTGATGTATTTAATGCGGAGAATACAGTATATATCTGTTAATTTAAAGACGCTAAGCTTAAACTGATATTTCAAAATAAAATTTCAGCTTGAATTTTGTGAACTATTATTTGACTGAAGCACTCATCCTCTATCACTTGTATTTCGACACATTGATACTAATCATAATTATTTATATTCCAAATGTACCTTCTTTAATATAATAGGCCATGCTGCTGGATTACCTCAGCCACAATTACAAATGCTACAGCGAAATTATGTCCAAGGCAGTATATAGATTATATACATACATCTGACAGGGTTTTTTAGTTTTGATTTGTATTTAAGCACTATGTAATATTTATTCCGTTTGCAGTAAGTTTTGGCCTTTGTTTCATGTAAATACGTTTTTTTTCTCTTATTTGTTAGCAAATTTCTCCCTACAATGTCCTGTAACTGCCACCACTACTGACGGTCTAGGGCTGCGGTCATCCTTGTGAAAGAGCTGCTTAACTTAATGAACTTTACCAGCTGATATAGCCTGATAATTTATCTGCTGGAAATTTAAAAAATACATGATACAGATTCACTGAATGTGTGAAAATACTTACTGCCATTATTACCGGTGATAAAATTTAAATTGGGTCCAAATTTGAATGGACCAAGCAATGAATGGCACATGAAATTCTTCAGTGTTAATGATTCAATGATACCACAGTCTGGCTTCACCTGAAAACAAGATCGCCTTCGTTATTAGTTGGACACAAAATGGCACAATTTCTTACACTCTTGACACAAGCATCTATTCTTACTTATGATCAATACAACTCCCTTTTAGCAAATAGTCGACAGTTTAGGGTGTAATTTTGCAAATCACATTTTTAGACTTGCAGTTGTGCAGACACTTCAAGGATATGAATAATAAAGAGTTTAGCAACACAGTAAACATCAGACTTCTGCTCATTGTGAATGGTGTTGGACACATCACATTATTTTTCAGTACAATAAAAGCCCTCAAAGGTGGACTTATTTCAGGAAGAGCCTTTCTTTTTATGGGGGATGTCTGGCATACTCAAAAAATTAACACTATTACAAGTTCATATATCCCTCATAATATAGGTTTTTGGGTCATATATCCCTGTCATTCCCAATCCACCATTGAATAAAGGCCTCTCCATGCCATGACAGGTTTACAATTTAGGCTTTATCATGGGACCTCCCTTTGCCAGTACCAAAATATGAGAATAGGTTTTCCTCCTATTTTCTGGCAACAAAACAGGTGTTGAAATGTTAAATGCATTCTGACCACAAGTATTGTGGTTAATGCAGACATGATTCCTTGTAAAAAGGTTTCAGTTTGGTGTTTTAACATCTCAACACCTGTTTTGTTGCCAGAAAAAAGGGGAAAACCTATTCTCATATTTTAGGCTTTATGGTCATAGATTAAGGGCTAGCGATGTGATGTTGAGGGGTTGATTAAAAGTTAAGGAATAGGCTTTATACCAATAACTTTTCGCAGCCCACCTGTCACGTTTCATATTACCTTAAACACCATTAATACCATCCGGTGAAATGGACGTTATTAAAATTGGATCCAAATATAATCAGTTAAGTTAAATGCCGAAAAAGGCCTTAAGGGCTAGAACCCGATCAATATTGACATTTAGCTCCTGTACATATTGCCATATGCAAGTATAACATAGCATTTAGGGCAATGGTTCCCAACCTATGGTTTGCAGACCACTGGTAGTTGCACAACGCTGTGGGAAGTGGCCGAGGAACTGTTGCAGATACGATTGTTTTAATTAAAGGAATGTTATTGGATGGCGGCCAAGGAAAATAAATGGAGGGTTGACAGTCGTGCAAGAGTCAACAAAACTTGGGAACCACTGGTTTAGGTCGCCAGGTTTGGGAGTTACTATTCAGAATCAGAGGTTATGGTTTAGTGGAAGGCTTCGGTTATAGTTTAGGGATTATGCTAAGCGAATAAGCTTCAGAAGAGTTATGGTTAATGACTGAGAGATTCATCTTTGGGTTAGAGTTTCAGGTAGTGGTGGCCAATACACCAAGCACAGATTCATTGTTGTGGATCTCTACTGGCTCCGTGATCCACCTGATTTATGTATGTTAAACTTCTTTTGCACCATACATCGCCAACCGTGCTAATTGGAGGTGCGGGGGATGAACAAACTAAACACAAAGCAGTTCTAAAGAAATTCGTTTTCAATCCAGATTTAAAAGTGCATCGCTCCAGTGGCTTCCTAATAAATTACCATCAATTACCCAGATTTAACTCTGTAATGCCCAAGCATTTTTTTGTTATGAGGGAAGAAGCTACTTGAAATATGTAACTAGATAAACATTTATATTTTGCAATCCACATATTGGCCACTCCTGGTTTAGGGGCTATGCTTGAAGTTATGGGATGAGGGTTTAAGACCAGTGGTGCCGAGAACAGCTCTTGTCCCACACCTGCGTCTCAATGTGGGAAGAGGGTCCACGCGGCACGGCTGACTTTCCGTGGCTGACCACCCGCTCGACGTCGTCTTCATCGGCGTCTTCCTCCAGCACACGGCGGACCTTTCTGGCCCCATCTCCCTGACGGTCGCTGCTCGACTTCCGTTTCTGAGACATCGCCCGTCACACCTACGGCCAACAGCAACGACCAGGACATTACATTGAGTCACGCAAACGAATTCTGTCACGGAGCACATGAATGTGGTGTGGCCAGTGCTCGGCCGCCTTTGTCTCCCCAGCGCTGGTCTTTACAGCGCACTTGGTAAATGGTGAGTCGATTGATAGGAGAGGGCCCAGGACAGGTGTAATTTACAGCCCTTTGTGAATCAGCTGCCAGATGACGATCTCCTCAAGCTGTGTCAGTCATGGAGGTTGTTTTTTTGTCTAAATCATACATCACTATGCTGGTCAGTGCGGGATTGTGAAGCGGAAAACCCCAGGGCCGTTTCAGATATAACTCGCCACTGATGTTAGTCGTGCGCTTACTGCACGTAACACATCACCCTCCTGAAAATTAGTCTTAAGACTTCCGTGAAGCTTTCCAGGTTAATACATGATATTGCTGTTCTTAAAAGGATTATAGAGGACGATACTCATCAATATGTACAATAGTATGTAACTAGAGGCCTGAGAAATACATGCGTAGCGGGTCGCGCGCTGCGAACAGAGTTCGATTCCCGCTGACGGTCAATAGCAGTGACGAGTATCCGAACCGGTCCTGAGTACCTTGAGTACCTGAGTACCTTGAGTACCTGGTGTGGTGTGTAAACATCGCCACTGGGGGAGACAAAGGCGGCCGGGCGTGGTTCTGGCCACCCCACCGTCATAGGCGCTCGCTAATAGCACTTGTCCCATCAGTGTGTTAAGGCTATACGGGGGATCTTTATATGTACCGTACTAGACAACGCGGGGTTTGCCGCTCACAAACCATGACATTTAAAGTGTTGTTCTGTTAATATATCACCAAGTACTGTATAACAAGAGATAAATGCGCGCGAATGAGGAAGCAGACTAACTGGGGTTGCGCGCCGCCTCCATCGGACTCAACACCCCCCTCTCATAGTAGTTAACAGGCTGCAGCGGCAAGTGCTGTCAGTGAGCACCTATGACGGCCGAAACGGTACACGAGGCGGTGGGTGGTCAGCACCACGACCGCCTTTGTCTCCCTACTTGCTACGGCACTCACCACCACCACCACGACACGCACTTACCACGCGCGCCCACACTCAGGCGGTGAAACTTTACCCGCACACCCGATTAGCACGGCTGGCGACGTACGATGTCAAAAAAGACGTTCTACAGAATACAACCTCTAATAATTAAGGTGAATTGTGACGGAAAAAAAAAGGGCGGGAAAGGAAAATCCCGAGGCCACTTCGCGTCGCCTCAGCCTCACGCGGCCGCGCATTCAAACCCGAGACCGTTCTTCGCCGACAATCGATGGCAGCGATTCGGTTGCTATCTTAACATCGATTCGATTCCGCGTTGCGCTGAGCCGGTGGGGAATCGCTAAAACTGCCTCGCGCGAAGAATCGAATAAACAATCTAATAAAGCGGAGAGTCGGGGAATCGGGAAGTGGAAGTTTTGGTCACGTGGGTAGAGATGTGGCGCGCTATTGGCTGTCACGGTAAATCATCGCCCCAATGTTTATCATCGTCGCCGCGATACGATATTAGTCACTTATCGCGATATCGTCACTTATCGCGATACGATATTATTCACTTATCGCGATATCGTCACTTATCGCGATACGATATTAACCACTTATCGCGATATCGTCACTTATCGCGACTACGATATTATTCACTTATCGCTATATCGTCACTTATCGCGATATCGTCCCTCATGACGATACGATATTAATCACTTATCGCGATATAATCCCTCAAGGCGGCACGATATCGATCACTAATTCTATATGAATCACTTGACAGCGTTCAGTTGAGTATTGCTGGCTGCACAATAGTCGACCGGAGAGCATCCAAGCGCCCGGATGGCGACCCACAGACATCACGCCCCCCCCCACCACCTGCTTGGTAGTCGCTCGCGGCTGATGTTGTGCCGCCACTGCGTTGTTGTGGTTGTTGTTGTTGAGCCATCTTCTTCTTCCTCTTCCTCGCCTTGTGGAGGTGTTGGCGGTGTGGGCGAGGGGCCCCACGTCACACCCAGACGCCGTGGCTGGCTGGGGTGGTCTTGTGGGCAATCGTCTTCGCACAGCAATGCACGTTTCGGCAGCCTCCTCAGTCTCCAGACTCTCAGCCTCTCAGTTGCTAAGATTGTGAACGCTCGCAACCCAGAGTCGAATCTCTCATATTTGCCGAGTTGGAGTTGAGGGTGAATTGGCAATAGACAATGTTGGCCACGAGGTGGCACGAGCAGGAATGATGAATGAGAAGTCCTCGTTAACTCGCCCTGTGCTGCAGGTACGCCTCGGCAAGGTAATGTAATTCACCCTTTTTACCGGGTAACAGGGTGAAGGTTAAGGGTAACGGTGTCGACATGCCAAGGGGTGAGCTAAAGGGTACAGGGTAAAGGTAGCTCGGAAGAATTACCCGGTAAATACGGTGCCTTGTTTACCGCTAAAAGCTCAGTGGAGCAGTCCGTGGCCTCCATTTAATAACTAATATAAAAACAAACTTATTTTAAAACACGCTTTAATTAAATGAACTAGTAATAGCAGAACGCCACGACTCCAGGAAGTGGCCCCGAAGCTTGCCACAACGTAAGGGGCCGTGGCCAATTACAGCCAACGTCAGTTGAGCGTGGACAATTAGACCCAAGCCGAAACATAACATATACAAAATAATGTTTAAAAATATATATTTTCATGATATAATGTATTGTCATCAGTATGATATAAGTATACCAAGTTTTCAGTCAATACCACATTGGGAAGTGGGTTAAAATTGAGTTACAAGCGTGTAAAATTGAAATCATCGAGAGTATTCTATATGAGTAAAGCGCTCTACCTAGCATCTACCTGTTATAAACCTTGTTCAAGTGTAGTAGTACCCCAGTAATTACCCTGTAATCGGGTAGTTTGTATGGGGTAAGGGTAAAATGTAGGGTAAAAGGTAGGCTCGTTGTTTTTTTACCTTCCCTGCTGAAGGGTAAAAGGTAGGGTAGAGTGATTGTATGGGGTAAGGGTAAAATGTAGGGTAAAGGTAGGCTTCGTTGTTTTTACCTTTTAACTTTTACCTTACCTTGCCGAGGCCTAGCTGCAGGGTGTCTCCACTCTCCTACCCTCTGTTTAAATCGGCTGCAGTCTTCCGCTTTTACACGTTACAACGCCGTGAAGTTAGCATCCACGCGCCTGTATCGTGTATGCCATTCATTCCTTGCATCCACACAGCCCGGTACAACTCAGCGATAGACGTGAGTGACATGACGAGCTGTCCTAGTCGTCGTTATTCCATCAATGGGCCGTTTGGAATGTTCCCACGGGCATGGAGTACAATCGGTGAGCACCAGCTCGACACTGCGCCGCAGGGCAAGGCCAGCCAGAACGTCACACTGAAGACGAGTTGAGGTCGTCGACGTCAGAGAGCCCAGCGACATTTGTGACGAAGTGAGGCCACTTTCGATCCCAAGCTTGGTTCGAGGCTGACTCTGCCCTGTCGCCAGATGTCGATGCAAGGGGTGGAGCTGGAGGAGGCCATGACGATTTTTTGCTGGATATCTGCATCACATCGACTGCAGGAGCAAAACATACTGCCGAGACAAATAGATCTGTCCACATGGCCACGGTCTGCCCTTTGTGTTGGTATGTGGTGCACCTCGGTCTTGGCCGTCGAGAGATAAATCTGGAAGGCCTCCCCTTCTGTGTGGTCAATAGCAGGATTAGAGGTCCACCGGGTCGCAAGGGAGAAGTGCGACATCGTGGGTGCAGTCGCAGTCGGACAGTCCACGGTGGACTTTAACTCGACCCATCAACCAGCCCACAGCCTGGCAGGATGACGATGACACTGACACACGCACCCCTGGCAGACTCCAGACCTGCTGGCTCATCTTAGAGCCTCACCTTGGTGGATGAATCACCGTGCAGGTCAGCAGCTGTCAGGCGCTTTGGTGGCTCCAGCGCTGCACTTCCTCAAAGAGCCTCCCAGGTGCTGCCCTGGCCACCGAGTCGACCACCACCGTGAAGTCCACGTGAGCGGTGTTGGATGGACTCTCTCGGTGTAGTTCAGAGAGCGGGCAGAGTGCATGGACAGCATCCTCCGTGGGGTGACGCACTGTGAAGCCTCATTGCCAAGGGCTCCAGATGTGGTGCAGAAATGGAGACAAGCGAGCCAGTAGCACATTGGCAAATACTTTTTGCCAGGACAGAGAGAAGGGTGATAGGACGGAAGCTGCTACAATCAGCTGGCGAACCTTCTCATTTAGAAAGAGAGGCAATCGAACCATCTCTCCAGTCAGCTGGGAACTCGAGCCAGAGGTCCAGATGAGTGTGAACAAATGAAGCAACGTGATGCTAACCCCCTTCACGCCACATTTCAGGAACTCCGACAAGATGGGACCCAGCCCGGCAGCTTTTCCATTGCGTAGTCGCTCGATGGCTGTTGACCCAAGTCTGGGCAGGTCGTTGGCCGGCGACTGTTTTGTGCTCCCGCTAGCAACTGACTACTTCTTGAGTAGATCAAGAGGCTTGAGCATCTGCCTCCCTTATAATATTCCGTGGACCGGACTTTGCTGATGCCATGGTTTAAAATGTATGTTTTTTTATTAGCGCTGTCCTCTGTTCCCCTGCAGTGGAACGAGAGGAGTGGAGTGGCGACGTCGCGAGAGCGCTGGTTTTTGTGTTCAGGTTTTGGGTCCCCTTTTCGTCAATTCTGCCAGTTTCTTTTTTGTTAACCATCTGATCTACCCCTTGACAACAAGTTTTCTTTTGCAAGTCAAAGTGTGGAATATTTTCCGGTGCTTGGCCCCAGACGACTCCAATTTAAATGAAGGCAAGCGTTAAGCCTTGTTCATACACTCACAATATAGTAAATGCACTATTACGTACGTTTTTTTCTATAACCGTACACTATATAAATGATAGATGTTTAGGTATCTTTATATAGGCGTCATTCCTTGTGTGTGGCAATGTCACTTCATACCCTTGTAAACGATATTTCCCATCTCAAGGGATTATCCAGGTGTAATGTTTAATAACAAAAATAGAATATTACATAACATGTATCACCCTCTGAGTGCATCTTCCCACCCGTCTCCCAGTCCCCTAGAGCGCAGTATCCAGATAAACAACACCACCACCACCACTCGATGTCCGACGTGCAGTAGGAATTACAACTCACGCGTGCTCGTCCCGCCCGTTACACACTAACGGGCGGTGCATCGTGGCTCTGGATTTCACAGATGGCATAGGCAGCAGTAGAAGCAGCAGCAGCAGCAACAGCAGCAGCAACACATCCACCCACCCCTCCCATATCCACACAGCACCGCAGATCGGCGAGAGCCAATGGCACGCGTGGGGGATAGGCAGGAGGAGGGGGGCTGGAGGGAGGAGGAGGAGGAAGCTTGCGCCGCCTCGATGTGCCCCCGAGAGATGCAAGCTCCTGTGCAATTGGAGCCGCCGAGAGAAGAGAAGAGGGCGCGGGAGCGCAGAGGAGCGAGGCAGGAATATCACCAGTGACACACATCATCACAACACGCGTAGCCGCCGAGCGTACGAGGGAGGAGGGTTGCGATTAGACGCGCCGTGTCAGTGGCGGCAGTAGTCGGACGTGCAAGAGACGACGCGACGTAGAACAGAGGTCGTCACGTCGGTTCGCTGCTGCCGCTGAGAGGGACGCGGCGCGCCGCTCGTTGCTTCTGCGCTAGCGGCAGGAGCAGCACGCAGCTGCACGGACGACGGCGCAGCACGGGCTGAGCGAGGTGAGCGCGTGTGGAGTCACGTCGATGGTGGTGGTGGTAGAGGTGGTGGTGGTGATGGTTGTTTTTTAGAGGGAGCAGCGAGGCGAGCGTGTTTCACGCGTCGCCAAACCTGATGACCACGGCAGCCTTCGTCGAGCGCTCACTGCGGCGGCTGTGGCTTCACACGCCCGTGATGCTGCAGCGGCTGCTGCTGCGGCTGATGATGCCGATGATTTTCGTGGTGGAGGGCTTATGCATGGACAGGTGATGGTTGGTGGTGGTGGTGCCGCCTATAGCTAAAAGTAGAAGCTCTGTGAATGGCGGTGATGCTGCATAGCTGGGGGGAAAGGGAGGATGTTGCCGCGTGTGTGTGTGTATTCAAATAAGTTCGTGTGTGTGTGTGCTGGGTGTAATGCGAAAATTGTGTTCAATGTGCGCGTGTGTGTGGTATATGTCTACATGCGTATGTTGAACGTATGTGTTCATGAATATGCGCGTTCGTGTTGATTGTATACGCATCGATGAGCGTGCGTATACGTGTTCAGGCTTATGCATCTATGACGGGTGTATGTACGGTGTGTGTGTGTTGAGTGAACACACAATGTGTGTGCATTCCTGTGTGTGTGTTGACAACCCATTCACCTTGGCGCCGTGTGGCTCGGCTCACTCTCGTAACGATCATCGCTGTAATTATTGATGCTTTCCGACAACGCCTTACACACGGCGTGCGGTACGGCACACGCTCACACTGACACGTTGCGTAATCACCAGACCGCCTACCCGCATCTCTGACGGTATTCCTTGTGCACGTTAGCTTGGCAGCCTTCCTGACGCCCTACGCTTGCCATCATTTAAATTTAATATAATCGCATGCTCATACCAAACATGAGCAAAAGGTGCAGCCCTGCAATTGCTCGTTCACGCCACTGCTGGTGCAAGGGGCCTCCACTAGAGGGAGCCCTCTAGAGCAGCCGCTCGTCTCTGTGGAGGGGCGGGGTGACCCACGCGGTCGCCTGGGACGAATTCACCCGCAAGGCGCCTCCTCTCGGGAGAAGAAGGTTCCTCGATTCTCGCAAACCAAGCAGGCGTTGCGCCTGGATCGTGCTTGGATTGGCGACCACTGTGCAGCAGCATACGACAGGCGCTATAGGCCGCTGGGAAGGGGTTGTGGTCGGCAGAGGGCTTTGCAGCAAAATCAATTGTTGTACTGTACTACTGTGTGCGCCCCATGCCTATTATGCTCCCCGCCTCCACAAACCCACACTGACCAGCCTGGTGAAGTATAGTCAAATAACCCCCGCGCATCCGCACAGCATGGTGAGGCCCTCATCTAGCAATGGATTGACAAGGAGTTGTACTTGTGCGTGTGTATACCACGTGTCTAAGACGTTGCTTATCGTGTCTAAGACGTGGCTTATCGATCCAGCGCTGGTCAAATGTTGGGTGTTTTTTAGCAGAGGAGAAGGAAGCGACGTTTTAGTCGACTGGCCTGATTCCGGGTAGATTTTTTTGAAAAAAATTGTTGATGGAATACAATGACCTGCGTTTCACTTCCTCCTCAACCATGGCCGGGAATGTAACTCATGTGTCTGGAATGAAACACGTTTTGATGCTGCTACTGCTGCTGTGTTAGCAGTGGTGCACAAGCGCTATTAATAATAACACCCTGACCTTAAAAGAAAATATATAAAAGGAGACATTTCAGCCCCTTTATTCGGCGCACATTCATAACAAATTGCCCGAAACCTCGCCTATTATATATATTTTATTTAAAAGGCAGTGTAATTGACGAAGATGCAAAATGTTCATGTCTCCGGATTCATGGTGCAGCTCCATGTATAAGCTCTGTTTATGCGTAATGATATTACTTCATGTATGTAAGAGCAATAATAATTATAATGCCCTTTATTTAGCCAGGAAAGCCTCACTGAGTCTCAAGGATTTTTTTCTTCAGGACGGTGCTGCTGTTGCATTGGGATGTTAGTCTAATTCCACCAATGAGAGTTTGGCTCCATATGGGAGGAAACTGTATAGCCCCGAGAAACCCAACACGTCTGCAAAGCAATAACGCGTAGCGTAGCACAGATAGACACAATAAGCCAGTTATGTACTAAAACATTCCTAGCCACCTCACATGAGATCTCGTGTGTTCTGTACTTTATGTATACCTGTGTGTGTATTTGCGGTAGTGCATTCGTAAGCGCACTTCGCTATGAACCCAGCTACCCGAGTTGGATTCCCGCTCGCGACCAATCACAGTAACAGTTCAAGTTTGAACTGCTCCTGGGTCTCCTCTTGGTCGACTCAGCCTTAAAACGAGTGAATGAGTGTAAACATTAGAATTGGGGAGACAAAGGCGGCCGAACATAGTTCCAGCCACTCATCACCTCGTGTGACGTTTCGGCGTTCATCGGTGCACGCAAAAAGATCTTTCCCCAACGGTCTGTTGGGGCTCTACAGGGGTCTTTCTGTATGCATTTGTGTACACCAGTCAATGTGAGAAGCGCTAGTAACAGTCGTTGGCGTATTATGCCCTCAATCTGTACCTGGGTGCAGTATGTAAACATCGCACTGGAGAGACAAAGGCGGAAGGGTGTGATGCACGGCACACCACATCCACATGCGCCGTGTCTACCTTAACAGGTGCTCGCTAACAGCACTTGCCTCACTCAACAGCCGCTGTACGCTGGAAGGGGGATCCTTGGTCGCGTCTAAATCTCTGTGGGAAACGGGGTCTTCATGGGGGACTTAATCCGTGACATTTCACGGGAATGTTTAGCTCTGCTAGAACATGTTTTCATGCACACTGCGGTACAGCCGTCGTTCATCTGACACCGCGTGCACTGCGCTGAGCAAAGCACATCAATCGCACTCGATAAGAGGACCGTACATGTTTAGCATATTGCACATGCTTTGCTAGGCAACACCTGTCATCATCATCAATTTCATCAGCCATGATTAATCTACTGCTGGATGAAGGCCAAAGCCATTGCCATGTCATGTTCCTGCGATGTAATAATCCACCTGGCTAGCGCCGGCGCACGAGTTGACTTAATCGCTCCGTCTCCGTGGTCTACGTCCCTCCCTGGGCTGCCACTCCGTTATTCCAGCATTGCTGACGCTGAGCCATCGCGCCTGCCAGCGACGTGTCCCCTCCACGCACCACCCCCCCCACGCACCACTCCCTCCCCACGCACCCCCCCCCACGCACCACTCCCTCCCCACGCACCACTCCCCCCCACGCACCACCCCCCCCCCCACGCACCGCTCCCCCCCCACGCACCACTCCCCCCCCCACGCACCACTCCCCCCCACGCACCACTCCCCCCCCACGCACCACTCCCCCCACGCACCACTCTCCCCCACGCACCACCCCCCCCCACGCACCACTCCCCCCCCCACGCACCACTCCCCCCCCCACGCACCACTCCCCCCCCCACGCACCACTCCCCCCCACGCACCACTCCCCCCCACGCACCACTCCCCCCCCCACGCACCACTCCCCCCCCACGCACCACTCCCCCCCCACGCACCACTCCCCCCCCACGCACCACTCCCCCCCACGCACCACTCCCCCCCACGCACCACTCCCCCCCACGCACCACTCCCCCCCCACGCACCACTCCCCCCACGCACCACTCCCCCCCACGCAACACCCCCCCCCCTACGCACCACTCCCCCCCACGCACCACTCCCCCCCACGCACCACTCCCCCCCACGCACCACTCCCCCCCCACGCACCACTCCCCCCACGCACCACCCCCCCACGCACCACTCCCCCCCCACGCACCACTCCCCCCCCCACGCACCACTCCCGCCCCCCACGCACCACTCCCCCCACGCACCACTCCCCCCCACGCACCACCCCCCCCACGCACCACTCCCCCCCCACGCACCACTCCCCCCACGCACCACTCCCCCCCACGCACCACTCCCCCCCCCACGCACCACTCCCCCCCCACGCACCACTCCCCCCACGCACCACTCCCCCCCCACGCACCACTCCCCCCCACGCACCACTCCCCCCACGCACCACTCCCCCCACGCACCACTCCCCCCCACGCACCACTCCCCCCCACGCACCACTCCCCCCCCCACGCACCACTCCCCCCCCCACGCACCACCCCCCCCACGCACCACTCCCCCCCCACGCACCACTCTCCCCCCACGCACCACTCCCCCCCCCCACGCACCACTCCCCCCACGCACCACTCCCCCCACGCACCACTCCCCCCCACGCACCACTCCCCCCCCACGCACCACTCCCCCCCACGCACCACTCCCCCCACGCACCACTCCCCCCTACGCACCACTCCCCCCACGCACCACTCCCCCCCACGCACCACTCCCCCCACGCACCACTCTCCCCCCCCCACGCACCACTCCCCCCCCACGCACCACTCCCCCCACGCACCACTCCCCCCCCACGCACCACTCCCCCCCATGCACCACTCCCCCCCCACGCACCACTCCCCCCACGCACCACTCCCCCCCCACGCACCACTCCCCCCCCACGCACCACTCCCCCCACGCACCACTCCCCCCCCCACGCACCACTCCCCCCCCACGCACCACTCCCCCCCCACGCACCACCCCCCCCCACGCACCACTCCCCCCACGCACCACTCCCCCCCACGCACCACTCCCCCCCACGCACCACTCCCCCCATGCACCACTCCCCCCCCACGCACCACTCCCCCCCCACGCACCACTCCCCCCCCACGCACCACTCCCGCCCCCCACGCACCACTCCCCCCCCACGCACCACTCCCGCCCCCCACGCACCACTCCCCCCCCCACGCACCACTCCCCCCCCACGCACCACTCCCCCCCACGCACCACTCCCCCCCCACGCACCACTCCCCCCCCACGCACCACTCCCGCCCCCCCACGCACCACTCCCCCCCCACGCACCACTCCCGCCCCCCACGCACCACTCCCCCCCACGCACCACTCCCCCTCCACGCACCACTCCCCCCACGCACCACTCCCCCCCACGCACCACTCCCCCCACGCACCAC